TAACCGTGATAGCTACTAAGTGATGATCAGGTAGGACGTTATGGACAGAGGGATGATTTACATCATGGGTCGGACAGAGCAGGGTGACAAGAGATTCTACCATGACTCTCAGCACAGCACGCAATTTAAAGCTTATGGATTGTTTATTTCTGGGACTTTCCATTTAATATTTTCAGATCTCAGTTGATTCAAGGTAACTGAAACTATGGAAAGCAAAACTACATGTAAGGGGAGGGGATGCCTATATTGTGGTGAAGCATTCAACCTCAAGAATTATGTCTAGAAAAAGGATAGAAAAGATACTCACTGAATTATTTTACTAGAAAATTAGCTGCAAAACATGTCAATTATGGAAATCACATGCAAATTAATTAAATAGCATTAAAAATCCAAGTCCCCTTCCACCAACCTCCCCCTTTTTTAACTATTTCAGCCATGTATAATTACATAGTCCATGGTGTTGAGTACATTCACATTACCATACACTCAGCTTTTGATGAAGAATCTAGATCATCTTTGTACAAATCAGGAGTGGAACAGTCCAAGAAAGAAGGGGAGGGGAGGAGAGGGGAAAGGAAAGTAAGAAGGCAGGGAGGTAGGAATAAAGGTAAGAAGGAAGGGAAGGGACTTCTCTGCATGCTCAGTGGTTAAGAATCTGCCTGCCAGTGCAGGGGACGTGGATGGGTTCAATCCCTTGTCCGGGATTGAACATGCTGCAGGACAGTTAAGCCCATGCCCCACAACTGTTGAAGCCTGCATGCTCTGGAGCCCTGTGCCACAACGTCTGAGTCCGTGTGCTGCAGCTGCTGAGCCTGTGTGCCCAGAGCTTGTGCTCGACAAGAGGAGAAGCCCGCACGCTGCAACTAGAGACTAGCCCCAATTCACCACAACTAGAGAAAGCCCACGTGCAGCAAGCAAGACCCAGCGCAGCCATAAATGAATCAAAAAGAAGGAAGGGAAGAAGGAGGGTCATCCCAAGATAGCTTTAGCTTTCACTTGCCTTACACACGTAGAGAGCTTGACAGCTGTGAGCTCTCGTAGCTGAAAAAAGAACCGTGGCAGTGCTTCAGGTGGGATTTCAAAGACTGTAAAGTATGTGTCGAACTGTGTTGCACCCTATTTTTGGACCCAGGTCTCTACTTTTTTACATTCAAGGCTTGAAGTTTGTTGAAATTTTGCATGGATAACAAGACTGCAGTTGGGATGGTTTTCGCTTAATCAGTGGGAAGCTGTTACTAAGCACCTTCTATGTGCAGAATAACAGACAATGACACAGTCAAGGGTCTTAACAGGAGCAAAGGATATGCACATTAATATAAATCACAAATCAGTGGTAGCAGAAGTCTGTTTTTTTAAAAAAATTTTATTTTATGTTAGAGTATAGCAGATTAACAATGTTGTGATAGTTTCCGGTGGAGAGCAAAGGGGACTCAGCCAGACATAGACGTGTATTCGTTCTCTCCCAAACTCCTCTCCTATCCATGCTGCCACGTAATACTGAGCAGACTTCTCCGAATGATAGCACAGGTCTTGAAGACAATGTTTTGGTACAGGAGTTCAGAAAAAGGAGTGACTTCTGCAAGCTGGAATGATTTTTGCTTAATTGTTACAATGACTCTGCATTCACTTAGTTCAAATTCTAATTGAAATCAAATGTCAATAAAAATCTCACTTTGTTTACAGAATTTGAAACACTATGCACAAAAAAGGGCAAGAATTATGTAATTTCAAAGCCAATCTGCCAAACCATTTTTATTAATGCTACATGATGACTGCATGGTAGATAGAAGAGACATACCCAGCATTCTTTGTCAGTCTTCTGGGAAACTAGGTCTTGAATTATGAGAGCTGTGATTAGTGAGAGCGCCTCAGGAATGCCTTCCTCTGTTAAATGCATTGCTTTTGTACTGTAAAGCTTCTGATGTTCTTGAGGGCAATTGAACTGATTTTACTGCATTATTTTATTTTCCAGTGGAAGCATTACTACTCCAGTATAATGGAACAAACTTTTCTGTGGATGAAATGGAAATATTAGGTTGGCCAAAAAGTTCCCTCAGGCATTTCTGTACCATTTTATGGAAAAATATGAACGAACTTTTTGGTCAACCCAATACCTTGAAAATGTAAACCTCTTGTATGAAAGCAAATTCCCAGTATCTAAGTGGCCAAAGATGACCTGTCATGGTTTGTGGAAGATATTGTTACTTCCTATGAGTGAGACCAATGTTGGAATTGCAAATAGAACCCTCACGTTTTAAGCTATGTTGCTAAGACTTTGCAGAATTTATCAAGAAAGTGGTCAGTGGTTTCAAATGATGGCTAATCCTACCCAGAAGCATGGGAAAATGCATTAAATGCAACTATTCACTGTCTGTTCGTGGTGAAGCTGACCTGAAGACTACGCCATAGGTCTTCATGACTAAATTCAAATGGTGACTTTAGTTGGCTTTTTTTTATCTGTGTGAAATTTTTGTTAGAAGATATGAGTGTTGATGCATAATTATTGCTTCTAATCTTTGATTCTAGCACACTTACTCAAGTGTTTCTTTTTTTAATTAAGTAATTTATCTTAATGGAAGGACAATTAATTTACAATATTGTGATGGTTTTGGCCATTCATCGATATGAATCAGCCGTGGGTGCACCTGTGTCCCCCCATCCCGAACCCCCCTCCCACCTCCCTCCCCACCCTATCCCTCTGGGTTGCCCCAGAGCCCCGAACCCCCCTCCCACCTCCCTCCCCACCCTATCCCTCTGGGTTGCCCCAGAGCCCCGAACCCCCCTCCCACCTCCCTCCCCACCCTATCCCTCTGGGTTGCCCCAGAGCCCCGAACCCCCCTCCCACCTCCCTCCCCACCCTATCCCTCTGGGTTGCCCCAGAGCCCCGAACCCCCCTCCCACCTCCCTCCCCACCCTATCCCTCTGGGTTGCCCCAGAGCCCCGAACCCCCCTCCCACCTCCCTCCCCACCCTATCCCTCTGGGTTGCCCCAGAGCACCGGCTTTGGGTGTTCAGCCTCATGCATCCAACTTGCACCGGTCATGTGTTACGTAGGGTAATATACATGTTTCAGTGCTGTTCTCTCTAATCATCCCACCCTCGCCTTCTCCCACAGAGTCCAAAAGTCTGTCCTTTACATCTGTGTCTCTTTTGCTGCCCTGCATATAAGATCGTCATTACTGTCTTTCTAAATTCCATATATATGCATTAATATACAGTATTTCCCTGGAGGAGGACACAGCAACCCACTCCAGTATTCTTGTTTGGAAAACCCCACGGACAAAGGAGTCTGCAGAGTTCAGTCCATCGATTACAAAGAATCAGACACGACTGAAGTGACTGAGCACATACAGTATTTGTCTTTCTCTTTCTGACTTGTGAGCTTAGTGAAGTCGCGCAGTCATGTCCGACTCTGCGGCCCCATGGACTATAGCCTACCAGGCTCCTCCATCCATGGGATTTTCCAGGCAATAGTACTGGAGTGGGTTGCCATTTCCCTCTCCAGGGGATCTTCCCGATCCAGGGATCGAACCTGGGTCTCCCGCACTGTAGACAGATGCTTTACCATCTGAGCCACCAGGGAAGTCCTTTCTGACTCACTTCACTCTGTATAATAGGATCCAGTTTCATCCACCTCATTAGAACTGACTCAGATGTGTTCCTTTTTATTGGCTGACTTTTTGTGTAAATTAAGATCACTTGGCAGGTACATGAAAAGATGCTCAACATCACTCATCATCAGGGAAATGCAAATCAAAAGCACAATGAAATATCACCTCATACCTGTCAGAATAAATCAAAGAGACAAAAATAATAAGTATTGGTGAAGATGTGGAGAGGGGGAAGGTTCATATACTGTTGAAGCCTTGCTTGGAGAATTTTGAACACTACTTTGCTAGTGTGTGAGATGAGTGCAGTTGTGCAATAGTTTGAGCACTCTTTAACATTGCCCTTCTTTGGAATTGGAACGAAAACTGTTTGTGTACCATTGAGGGGAGTGTAAATTAGTGCAACCATTGTGGAAACAGTATGAAGCCACTATGGAAATAGTATGGAAATATTTCCTCAAAAAATTAAAATTAGAACAATCATATGATCCAACAGTTTCACTCCTGGGTATTTATCTGATGAAAATGAAGACGCTAATTTGGAAAGATGTATGCGCCTGCATGTTTATTACTGCATTATTTACAATAGCCAAGACTTGGCAGCAGCCTGTGTACAACAATCAGAGTAGCTGAAGGAAATGTGATTTCATATATATATATATATATGTGTGTGTGTGTGTGTGTGTGTATAAAGTTATATAGTGTATTTAGTGGAACATTATTCAACCATAAAAAAAAAATCTTGCCTTTTTTGACAACATGAATGGACCTTGAGGGTATTATGCTAAGTGAAATAAGTCAGATAGAGAAAAACAAATGTCTTTATATGTGTCATATGACTTCACTTACATGTGGAATTGCATCTAAATATATACACACATATAAACAACAAACACAACAAACCACTGAGTTTATAGAAGTAGAGATTAGATTGGTGGTTGCCAGAGGTGGAGCATTGGGGAGGTGGGCAAAATGTGTGAAAGGGTAAAAAAAAGCCAGCTATCATTTGGGTCTGGTTTTGTTTGACAGCGCCAGCTCATAAGTCATTTTTAGACTGAGTCAGCAGATGTTAAAGGATGAGTGAGTAGATGGAATGTGTTAAGCAATTTAGAATGGGGGAAAATAATGGAATAAGAGATCTCTGCACTTTTGACATTTCGCATGTAAATCACATTATAAATAATATGCACCAGTTACTTGATTCAGGACCTCAGACCTTTCTGTAATGGATTTGAAGCACAAAATACAGTATTTATAGCCAGCGTGGAGTCTTCACTTTCAAGGATGGTTATACTCTTGGGGCTAGAAAGCCAGCTGAGCTCCACTTGTGAAGAGTTCTGCCATGCCAAGGCAGTTGACCGCTCTTTCTTTCCTCTTCTCCACTGTCCTGCAGACCAGACGATGTGCTCCTGCATCGCACGCATGACGAGATAGTCCTCCTGCATTGCTTCCTTTGGCCCCTGGTGACGTTCGTGGTGGGTGTTCTCATTGTGGTCCTGACCATCTGTGCCAAGAGCCTAGCAGTCAAGGCAGAAGCCATGAAGAAACGCAAGTTCTCTTAAGGGGAGTCGGCTCGTGGGAAGTGAAGCCTAGCAGCTGCTCTCGTCTGCACACATCTACCTGCAGAGCCTGCTTCCCGGCCCAGGAGATGGAAGGGGCTGTGAGAGGTCTCCGAGAGGCTCCCCCTCAATGACGGCAGAAGCAGGCACAACCGGAAGACCTGGAACCTCATCGATTGTTTTCCATGTGTCGTAGCAATAGCTGCAGGGTCAAGCTCTGAGCTGTATGGAGTTATCTGTTTCAGAAAATCCTATAGAAGTTAATTTTCTTCGGGGAAGTAACAGTATATAATTGTACAGTGTAGAATACAAACTATTATGATTTATGCTACCTAAAAATATTAAAATAGAGTGGTCTGTGTTCTTTTCTATTTCCTTTTTTATGCTTTGAACACCAGGGTTTTAAAAAAGGGTCTTATGGGTTTCATTTGATTTTGCTAGGTGAAACTTACTTGGACACAGGGATTCCTGCACAAATCTTGACCTCACAATGTAACCTCCAGTCTCTAGTATGAAGGAGTACATTAGACTCCTATTTGAAAAGGAAAATCTGCCACTGTTAACTCAGTCTCCAGTCACTTCTGTGACTGTCCAGCAAGGAACCCTCAAAGAGGAAAACATTCTCCCAACACTCCATTGTTTCTTAAGAGAGGGAGGTGATTCTGAACAAGGTCTGTCCTAGCTCTAAGAGCACTGTGCCTCGTTATCTGTTCAGGTAATTTTTGATGGATTTTTGTCTCTCTGCAGTAGAATGTACATGATGTGAAGGACACATTTCAGCTTAGTTAAATGCGGTTTTCATTTTTCTTTTAGGTCAGGAAAAAACTGATCAAAATCAGTTAATTTTATTTTCTTTGTCCTTGCCTTGATATTTTCACTTTAAAAATGAGAATATTGCTGCATTTGTTAATGTTTGTCTAGACAAGACTGGAGATGCAAGCCAGCTCACATCACTCTGCTTCTGAGCTCTCTGCGCCTTTATCAGAAGTTCATGGAGGAGACAGTACTTCTTTGCATCTGTTCATACACTCAGATTCCAAATATCAATCACATCTAAGTGACTATCGAAGCTCCTCTATTGATTTACCATGTAGAATCAAACCTTTGCTTACAAGTGATGTACAAATTTTTGGTTGAGGAAAAACTGACAACATACACTCTATTTGCTTTCTTCTTATATTCTTCAGACGTGTTTCTGTTAGAATGAAGACAAATTGGAATGTGAGGACAAGCTACCCTCATTTATTTTGCTCAGCATTCTAAGAAAGATACATATTAGTGGCTAGATGATTTCCTGACTTTGGGTCCACATAGCAATGTTTTCTCAAATTTAAAACTCAAGTAACTGAAAGAACCATTGTCATCTGTGGAAGACTAGGGTGTTGGATGAGTAAGATATTTTTCTTCCAATTCAAGTGTTACAGATTTCACTGTGAAAAAGGCCTTGAACACACTATTTATGACATCCTTTGAGGCAGCTACAGTGCCTTGACTTCAATCCCAGTTTTCTGTTGCAGCATCCCTGTTGTCTCAGCAACAAAGTGAGCCATTCTGAAGCACAGAGTAACGTGAAACTGGGGCTCGGAGAAAGTCAGCGTCATTGCATTACATTGTGGGAGATGTATTGTGTAGATGAAGTCTCTTTATCCATTTTATCTAAATCCAATAATCTGTAATTAATTGATTACAGGGAGTTGATAAAAACAGTGCGTGAATATACATGTTGGTAAAAAGGGAAGTTGATATATATTGATGTGAGTTTTTATTTGCCAGTTTTTATCCATTTATATTAAATTAAATAAATGCTTCTATTTAGGCTCAAAGAGTATACCTGGTGATATTCTGTAGGTTATTTTTGGAAAAAAGGAGAAGTACGCTGAATTACTGAGGTCACATATAATTTTAAAATCTTCCTTGCTTGTAGCTAGTTAAATTTGAGGTACTTTATTTATACTTATCATTAAAGATAAAATGCAATGGAACAACATTTTTAAGATCACAGAAGACAAAGAAGCTTAACTATTTAATATTTCGATTCTCTTTTTTTTTCTAAATATAAATGAGGAAATGGTATAAGCTGCTGGAACAGAAACCCCCAAATATGATGATTCATGTAAGACAGAAGTTTCTTTCTTTCTCTTATGGCAATCTGGAGGTACCTGAGAAGTCATCCAGGGCAGGGAGGGCAGGTCTGTTTCTTAAGGTAATCAAGGAACCCAAATTTGTCTNCAGAAACCCCCAAATATGATGACTCATGTAAGACAGAAGTTTCTTTCTTTCTCTTATGGCAATCTGGAGGTACCTGAGAAGTCATCCAGGGCAGGGAGGGCAGGTCTGTTTCTTAAGGTAATCAAGGAACCCTAATTTGTCTACCTTGTCCTCTCATTACCAAAGGTGTTATTCATCCCATGGTCAAAGTGGGCTCAAAAATACACCACATTCTGCAGCCCATGAAAAGAGAGCACTTTGGGAGCTAGCTATTGGGTTGACCAAAAGTTCGTTCTGGTTTTCTCATAAGGTGTTAACCTTTTGGAAAAGTCTGTACAAGCTTTTTCAGCCAACCCAGTGCTTCCTTTTAAGGAAGTTCCAGCCATCACTCTGCTCATAGTCCATCCGTGAATACCGATTACAGAAGTATACCTAGCTTCAAGGAAGACTGGGACATGTTGTCTCCAGCTAGATGGACATATGTCCTATTAAAGCTCCAGGAAAAAAGGAAAAGGGGAGAATGATACTAGAGTTAAAGACAGGAATGATGGGCAGCTGTCAGTGGCCCATGCTGCGATGAAAATCTGGGCAGGGATGACAAAGATCTGTTGCCCTGGCAGGATGTATAGTCCTTGGTTAGACCTTGAATCTTCTCTCTGGGAGAAACTCCCTTGTCCTCTGTTCTCTCTGGCCTCTACTTTGACTTCTAGGAAATTCTTGCTCATCAGACTTCATAGCCACATCTGAAGCTTTTGGGAGGCATCACGGCTTTTGCAGGCCCCCACCTGCTGGTGCAGATTTGTAGAGTAGACCTAGATTTCTTTAGAGACCGAACAAATGTAGATTTTTCAAGTTTATAGGGTTGTTGTTTAATTGGCTGCAATAGGGAGTCTGACTCTATTTTTGATGTTGGGATGCTAACAGCTTTCCCTTTCTGCTCCACATCTGGGCAAGCTGATTAGTGAGCCTGGGTACCCCCTCCTTTGGACTGGGTGGGAAGTTCAAATCATACAAGCCCTGGTCTGCTTGCAGGAACCCACTCCCTGCCCCACACCCTAAGAATAATAAAGTCAAACCAGTCAAGCCATTTTTGGATCTGCTTGGGAACTGCTCCACTCTCCTAGAAAGTCTCATTCATTATGTGAATAATAAACCTTTTCATACCCTCTTGATGTGTGTATGGTTATTAGTCTCAACATCCAAACCAAATTTGGGGTAATGGGTTTTCATGTGGCCTCTGAAGGGTTGCTTACAACATTGGTGATGAAATTTCATCAAAACATGGTTTTTGGTGTTTTTGCTTTTAGTTTTGTTAGTTCACACAAAAGTATTCATGGCCAAAGAGCTACTCTTCTTATACTTCTTAAGGCAGCGGCATCTTATTTACTAGTCTCTGTGCTTGGCCCGTGTCTCCATCCCTCAGTTGAGTGGCAGCCACTTTGAAGCCTTCTGGAAAACCGGGTTTAATTGAGAATGCTTCACCCTTTAGCTGGTCTTTTCTGCTCAGCTGACTTCCGTTGTCTGGTCAGTAATATTGGGATACTCAGTGGAGACTTTCAGAGAGACTGCATAATAATTTGCTTTTTGGTGCATAGAAACGGTTGGGCTGTAGGATATGATTTTAGTTCCTGAAACAAGGCTGAATCACCTACTTGTAAGTAGTTTTTCTTGTTTCACTATTTTTCATAGTTCCTTGCCAAAAAACAGCAATAAAGCAGCCAATGCACATCATCACTCTGCTTTTTTTTTTAATTAACTGTTGTTTTAAATGTTTATTTATTGATTTATTTTTGGCTGTACTGGATCTTTGTTGCTGCACCTGGGTTTCTCTAGTTGCAGAGAGCAGGGGCTATCCTAGTGGCGATGCGAGGGCTTCGGTGGTTGTGGCTTGAGGGCTCCGGAGCATCGGCTCAACAGTTATAGGGCCCAGGCTTACTTGCCCTGCGGCATGTGGAATCTTCCCTGGCCAGGGATCAAACCCTCATCCCCTGCATCGCAAGGTGGAGTCTCAACCACTGGACTCCCAGGGAAGCCCCACTCTGCTTTTTTCTAATTACTTGCCACAAAGCTATAGGTTTGCCTGTCAAGTCGTCACAAGTGCCAGTTTTATCTAATGGTTAGCCAAAGCACAAGGGTCTCTAGTTTTCCATTCTGTAATATCTGTTTCCTTGCTGCCTGGCAACAATACATAGCCACATATTTTGTTATGACAGGGATATAATTTACATGGCCCTTCTCTCTTTTTTTATGGAGTATGGTTGCTTTACGTTGTTGCCTTAGTTTCCGCCGTACAACGAAGTGAATCAGCTACAGGATACACATACTCCTTCCCTCTTGAGCCTCCTTCCCACCCCCCTCTAGGCCATCACAGAGCCCCGAGCTGAGCTCCTTGGGCTACACGGCAGCTTCCCACTAGCTAGATATCTTTCACATGGTAGTCTATACATGTCAAGCCTAATCTCCCAGGTCATTTCACCCTCCCCGGCCCTCACTGTGTCTACACATCTGTTCTCTCCTAGAGTCTGTCATGCAGAGCAAAGTAAGTCAGAAAGAGAAAACACAAGTATCATATATTAGTGCATGTATGTGGAATCTAGAAAAATGGTACAGTTAAACCTAGTCCCAAGACAGGAATAGACATGCAGACATACGTTGTCTTTTCCTGAATGGTCTCATCTGATGATCTCAGCTGTTGATTCCCATATCTATTCTCTCCTGTTTTGAGCTCTGAATATATTTGCAATAGCTCCAATGAATTCTTTATTAAGAATAGCAATGGGTAGACAATTCAATGATGACAAATAATGCTGGTGGCTCAGATGGTAAAGAATCTGCCTGCAATGCAGGAGACCCAGGTTTGATCCCTGGATCAGGAAGATTCCCTGGAGAAGGAAATGGCAACACACTCCAGTATTCTTACGTGGAGAATCCCATAGACAGAGGAGCCTGGTGAGCTACAGTCCATGGGGTCACAAGGAGTCAGACACAGCTGAGCAACTAATACTTTCAATGCAACAAAATAGTACCAAACAATATGGATAAGGAAACATTCCCCTGCTCAGATAATTTGTCCTGAAAATTTATTGAAATAAACCAATTCATTGTAACCTTTTCCTAACATCTCAATGTTCCTAGCACATGCTCTACAGTTCAGATGGACTGGTCCTGTCCCACGGCTTAGACCTCACTTTTCAC